AGAGAGAGAGAGAGAGAGAATAAAGCAGACTAAATTGTTGATAACTTCAAGTATTATTACAAAGAGAGAGAGAGCATGGAGGGAGGTTTTCAGAGATATTAAAGAGAGAGAGAGAGAAGGCTGGGATTCCAACTTGTCAGAGAATCATGTATTAAGGACAGAGGTCAGAGAGAGGCCAGTACCTTGTATCCTGTGATTGCTATTTGATGCATGATGTCATTCACGTATTTCACCACACCTAGCATAGCATCCAGTGCATCCTTGATTTCTACACTCCCAATGTCATTGCCAGTGTATTTAAGCATTTCCTGAAAGAAAGAATGAAAAACTAAATAAAAAAGATCATTTCTCTCTCTCTTCTTCTTCTTCTTTTTTTTTTTTTTTCATTGTTGTTTGGGGGGCCGGATCATCCAAAACAGACAAACATGTAATTAACACTAACTCTCTTTGAAATAAAACTACACCATAGTTTGCTTGTATAAACTATGTAATTTATACTCCTGTACAAGATGACTATCCAGCCTACTACAATCAAAGTCATTAGTGTTAAGAGGCAGTAAATGAGCTTTATTAAAATGTTTATGTCCGGAGATGCATATGATGCCTGTAGGCACATTCACTTCAGCCACTCTCTGGTAAACTGGTGTTTTTTGTTGGGATTTCAATGCACAGCAATTTGAAAACAACAAAAACATTGAAGTGATTTCTGAAACTGTGCAACACTTTTGCTCCCACAGTACTACCTCTGTACATGCATGCAACCTTTTCTACCATTATAATAACAATCTCAGATGAGGCTGCCATTTAGTAAAAAAGTTTGAAAATAGAGACCCAGAACCCTCCCTTTTTTATATCTGCATCGATCTCAAAAATAAAATTTTGCCTCCCAAAAGCCAGAAATCTGTCAATAGAAAAATCTCATCCCTATAATCTTGATAACTAAAAAATAACCAATTTTCCAGATTAATTTCACAGACACAAAAATTAATAAACACACAAAGGCACTAGCATACATTCAACTTACCCAAAAACAAAAATGCTGCCATGTTTTCTAATCTATCTTATAATCACTCTTTTTGTGTCCTACACTCTCTCAAGTAAACCCTTGTCTCTAAATATGCCTAAAGAGTCAGTATCAGTGTCTGACACCAGACAGCAAAATGACTTCTTTAAATCAGCTGTCGTGAGAGACAAAGGACTATCCTAGACCATCTGTGTCCCATACACACACATACCAACACGTGATGCACGTCAAGACGGGGTCCATGTGACAGTTACGACCAGGAGAACAGTCCAAACACGCTACAGTTCATGGGTGCATTCAGCACGTTTTCTACACAAAAAAGTTTCAGACTAAATACAGGAAGTTAGAGGGTTGACTGCATCCAGCGGCCGATGTAATTCTTTACATTATTTAAGATGAAAGTTGTAAAGACTGAAAATCCTGAAAACACTGCTTGCAATTTTACAATGCATTTAGACTACGTAAAAAATGTTCAAAATAAAGACTGAAAATCCTGAAAACTATCACCCATGCTTAAATAAGTGGTCAACAAGATGAGGGGAGGGGAAGGAAGGTGAGAAGGGAGGGGAGAAGAGGATGGGGGAAGCAGGTGTCAGGGGCAGTTTGAGGCTGTCTTCTGGGTCTTCCGAAAATGGTCAGATTTTCAAGTTTATACTGACGGATATCTAATTTTTCCTGTCAGAAGACCAGCAAAAATGGAGAATTGATCCACAAAGATAATTTGGAAGACTGCCAGAAAATATCTCTGGATCCCCCCCTGTGGTGTAGTGGTTAAATGAGGGATAACAGGTTTTCCTGCTCTATCAACACAAATGAATGCAATATTACTCTAAATCCTCCAGCATTAGTCTAAAAACTGTTTTGGTAAAAACAGTTTGGAACACATCCTGTCTACATGGAATATTCTATTTTTGGTCATCTTTATGAGATGTCCACATCTGTTACAGGACTGGTATGTTTATGCAACAGTTAGCTCATACCTAGACAACAGCTGTTGATTGCACAATTGTCTATTTTTTCCTAGTCTCTAAGAACACACTCAGACAGCGGATTTACAGATCCGCAGATCAAATATGGCCGACCCACTTGAATGCTTGTTGTGAAATCCCTGCAGGGAATCTCTTCGGTGTTTTATTGGGAATTAAACAGCAAGCTTTTCAGTAGGTTGCCATATTTGGTATCTGTTCGTCCACGGTTCTAAATACGCTCTTAAAGACTAGGAACAAAGACACACCCACAGCATGTGGTCACAGCTGTTTTCTTTTTTAACACTGATCATCTGATAAATTATGATTTTTTCTTGTTTGGAAGAAAAGTGTCTCAAGGGCAAAGGTCATCAACTGTTAATTGCAATGGTAAAGAATAATTAATCAAATCTGATCTCCATCTTTACAGGTCCTAAGCTAACTTCAGCCTTTCTGCTTCCCGTTAACATTGGCAATATTGCAATATTACTATGCAATCAACTGTATCTCTCTTTTTGTCTCACTGAAATAATGAAGATGATAAAGTACTTCAGGACGCAAAGTGCACATCAGCCATGGGGCAGATAAATATTGAATTTAACATGTTTTCTTCCAATATCCATCTATATAGTATCTGTCTGTCTATACTGGTATGTCCCTCTGTATGACAATCAACTTAGCTGGTTTTCAGCTTCAATCTAACACATAATTCTGTAGGTGCTTATATCAAAAGTTCTTTAAAGAAAGTTCTTTAAAAGTTCTTTAAATCAATAAGTAAATTAATGTAAATTTTGTATTATACTAGCTCAACGAATTAATATGAATACCAAACTAAGCCGATGGCTTGATGCATGTGATAAGCCACAAACAAATGAGACAAAAGATATTTTTCACAAGTGAATATGACTAACAAAGGGTCGTAAAACATACAGTTAATGACAAAGTGATGTGCATACTTTAAAGCTAGTGGGAAATGACAGTATCAAAATTCAAAAATACAATTCTGAATATAAAATTTGACAATTATTATCACAGATTCTTCCTGCAAGTTATTTTTTCTGTGATGCAAATCCATTCAAATTTTTGTACAGAAAATAAAACATCACTAGCAGTCAAGTACAGAAGATAAAAAATAAATATTTTAAATGAGAATCACAGAGCACAACCCACTGAATTTTAACCCCACAGAAATTTAAAAAAAAAATAAATATTCAAATAAAATCTTCCCTTCAAATCAAATCAAATCACTGCCTCTTAACTACTTTCAACCGCAGGAAAAAAACTCCCAAAAATCAAATTAATCTGATTTTCCCAAATAGTTTAAATTCATTTTAAATTCATTTACCCGAATACTCTTCAATCCGTAAATGAGTAATTCCACAGTCCGTCGACAGTGAGCTCCTAAGTAGAACGCCATATGTGACATCTGACATACTCCACTTTGGAATTTCGCAATAATCACACCGGACTTCAACAATACTTTAGACCTCTCTAGATATACTTTAATCCTCAGAAAGTGATCGAGATTCTACAGTAACCATGTGACATTGGATTCATCCACTTTTTAAGTACTGGTAGAACCTACATTGATTCCAATACAATTCCCTTCTCTCATTCTGAACTAGATAACACTGCCTCTAATGTCATCACAGGATTGCAATACGCACACATGTAAATATACATTGCTAGAAGCTAAAGGTGTGTCTAGACAAAACTAAATTGGACAGGAAATTGACTGATGTACCTGGATGGTTTAGGTGTCATCACACAAGACACACATGGACAGGGAACTGGTCTTAATTTTCATAATATCAGTCTTTATGTCAACTTATGTCAATGTGTTATTGAAGGCTTTTAATTAAAATTAGTAATGTACTCATGTATGTATTTAGATCATAGGCAGTGTAAAAATGTTACAGGCATTGTACTGTTCTAATATATATTACAAACTAAAATAATGTTGTCAAACTATAACTTAGCAATTAATATAACAAATACATATTAAAGACCTATAAACGTTCCATGCCTGCAATACAGCGTGCCACGTACATTTTATATGCAGCACACGAACACTCCACTTCCACCAACAGGAAGTTATGGGTTAAGCCACCTCTGATAATGTGTTAATGATAGGCGGATCATTTCAGCAGGCCTTAAGAGTCCTTGAAAATTGTTTTAAAATTTATTTCTGAGATTTGCCATCAAAAAGTGTTGCTAAATTTGATGTGGGTTTTCATGCCTATACTGTTAACCTTATCTTCAATCTAATTTTGAAATGTAATCTCTACTAATTACTTAGAAAATGTTAATGTTTCTGTGTATGTATGTTTGTGGACACGGGCGTATATGCATGCACATGTGAAGATTTTAGTGATCTGACCTGTTCAAACTTTTAAAATGTTATAATCCCAAGGGAAATTCTGTAGAGTCAGACAAGTTTTTATCTTTATATGCCAGAGGCCCACCATTTCATCTGTACGGCTTGTAAACCAGTTTGATGTTCTCAAGTCAAAAATATTGCAGCTTTTTGTTTTTAATGCCAAACCTAAGCCTTGGGCAGGTAAATTAAATTTAACTTAACTGCATATTTCTACTGTTGAACTTGAATTTTGCCAAAATGTGAAAAAACATAACTTTATAGAATTTTCTTTATATCAACGTATACTTAAAAGTATGGTTACATAATGAAAATCTTAATCCATATGATTTAATAATAAAGAAAAAATATAACCTCAACATAGAGAATTTTTCATTTCATGGTGCCAATTCTTTATAATTAACATTTGAGAACCCATGTACTGGAGCAAAAAAAATCTATCAAAAATATAGAAAACTATTCACATTTTAAAGATATGAACTTACCCTTAAAAGAAGCTGGTATTTGGTAATTCTTTGGACTGGTTTTAACAGGTAGGCACCCAATGGTAACTTATGGTCCAACCGCCTCTGACATTCCTTCAAAAATATATTTAGTCATTTAGTAATATTTCAAAGTAATTTAAAGTAATTACTCGTAAATTCCAACCCCTATTTTTTCAAACTGGCAGCATTTCATCATTTTAACATCATTAATTCAAGTAAAAATCAGACATAAACAACCAAAACATTAACCAAAAACATTTGAGAACTAAATTTATGACTGATATTTTAGAAATTATCAAACAACATAACAAGTTAGTTTTGATCCAATGCAGTGTAAATATTTCTTACAAACCTTGAAGAATGAATTGTGATCGCCTGCCTCTTGCCTCAGTGCCTCTGACCTAGGCTTATTCTGGCAATAGTAGCTGTACATTTGGAACTCTTCTCTCTGTTTTCAAATGTAAAAGATCATTTGATTGGATAATCTGGCAACAGTAGTTGTAAAATTCAAATTGCATTAAGTTATAGAGAAAATCTTTACACTCTTGGGCTAAATTTGACAAAATTTGAACTTTTTAAAAAGCAGTTTCTCTTAGGAAGTATGGAGGAAACACAATCATTCATTTATTTATTCATAAATTGTTTTGTTTGAATTCATTCTTTACTCTTGTGAATCTGACATGATGAACAAATCTTACTGACAGAAAAGGGGAAAATGTGAAAACTGGCCTTTTTTGAGATAAATACTGACTCCCTGACTTTTTTTTTATTCAGCAGCAAATAAATATACAAAATTACAGTTTTTGACTTATGAATCACACACACACACACACACACACACACACACACATTTACATACTTGGACTCTCTTTCTCTCTCAGTTAAAAAAAAGGTTGTACAGTTACAGTATTGCATAAACGGGTAGAAAGCAGAGATTGACAATTCATGTTGCTAACCCTACACTTGAAATTCAACTGACTCCCTGACTTACCCTATCTACAAAGCACCTTCCCACCAAACTTGGTGTATTCTGACAGTTCTCTAGATCCTTGAGAAACTCGCTGTGAATGAGAGAAAAAGCATGTGATCAGAAATCTAAATTACGCAACTTAAACAACATCCTGCGAGCATTTTTTAAAACACAATTTTACCCTCTGACATAATTGAGCACGAATATTGCAAATAACACATTTTCAAAAGTATTATCATTCACATTATATTTTATCAACATTGAGAAAATAAATTGGCATTTTAAGTAAATAAAAAATTGTAAATAGGAGTAATCATGATTTCAAAAGGTGCATTTTAAAAAGAAAATATCAAATTATATAAAAACCTACTTGAAAAGATGACAATACATGTACATCTGTAACCTGATATTTTTCAATTATTCTAAAAATGTTTATGGACCACTTACTCATGATGAAATGTATAAATATCTTCAATGTTTCCAAATATTTCCCTCTTCTTTCCCTTGATGTGTGCTGGGATAAGATGCTGCATCTCTGGATCATCCATCAGTTTAGCATAACCCTACAATAATAATAATAATAATAATAATAATAATATTAAAGCAATTACACAACACTTCAAGAATGATAAACAAAGGCAATAAATTCCTTTAAAAATACTTGAGACCTGCATTCACTTCTCTGCCTCCTAAATAGCTGTCTAACCCAAAGGTTGTTTACTATATCTTGTTCACTGCCATGCTGTTCAAAACATTGTTTTTGTTGAGACAACGCAATCACAACCAACACATTCATTGCCTGTGCAGTACGTAAAAGATCACATACATTATATGTGTATAATTTTCATACAGGAGGTAACTTACATCAATGATACTCTTGAGTTCCTTCACATATATCCTCTCTGTCTCTATTAATTCCTTCATCACATGACTGAAAAATATATGAAGAGACAATAATTAGCATTTTTCTTGAAATATTGTTTTTTCTTAAAAGCATTGTGTCAAATCTAATGAATAACTTAAAATAATATACTTTGTTTTAAACAAAAATATTTTTCTTACAGTTGTATTTTTTCTTTTCAATAATAATTGAAACACCTTAAGTCACATAAAAACACCAACTCCTAAACAACACCTAATCCTTCAGTTTTGTAACTTAAGAATCACAATTCTTTTTATGCATTGGTTTAAACAATAAATTAGGGCACATCTCCATAACTTGCAACAACCCCAACAGCACTCTAGCTGAATCTGATTTGACACACACACACAGCACAAACTGCCAGACTGATTGAAAATGTTTTAACTCTGCTGCCTTGAAGAGAACCCACTTATCAACTTACCCCCTCTTTGCGTGAAGTGTATCCAGATCCGCCAGCGGACTGACTGGAGGGGTCGTCTTGTTTACTCCACCACTCTGCTGCCCTCTGTGAAGACTTTCACTTTCACTTTCCAGTGATGAGCTACTTTCATTGCCATCTTGTCTGACTAGTTCTATTTTTGTCTGAATAAATAAATAAATAAATAAATAAATAAATAAATAAATAAATAAAAATTAAGAAATATCAAGAGGAAAAATATTTTTAATATAAAATGACACAGATAAGCCTGTATTTATTTACCACAGTCACCTGGTACAACTATTACACAATAGAAAAATATTATTTGCAACAGTTAGGAATAGTACATGGCATTAAAAAGCCCAAGTATAGTGACAAATAAAAAATGTTTAACTATCCCATTCACTTACCCTGAGGTGAGTTCCTCCATTTTTCTTAATTTCTCCATTTCTCTTCCTTTTGTGATGGAGATCTTCTGTTGACACTGAGCTACGTAATGGCACGGCTTCTTTCTTTTCCTGTGAAAATAAAGATAAAACTTGAAGGACTATTGCTTTTACAGACTGTGAAATGTATAAAACTAAAATTATTTAACAAATCTAATAGTTTTACAGACTATAAGTTGTGTAATAAAACCTCAAAGTTTATCCTATGACAGTGGAGTGTTTGGAACTGCAGTGACAAAACACACTTTCTCAACTTCTATATTCTTTCTCTAACATTTAGTCAGACAATTTCTTGGTTTAACTTAGAACTGATGTGAACACAGCCTGACACTCACACGAACCAGATGCACTCTGGGACCAGGATGGGAGATGGTCCTCCTCCTCATCATTGTGTTCTGCTTTGTCTGTTTTTGATAGAACGTACTCTTATGTCTTAATTATGGCTACAGATACGATTCAATACCAGGTGGGCAAAGTCAAGTCACTCACCACACTCAGTAAATTCAAACTGAACAGCAAAACTTATATTAAGGACTGCTTTGCAAATGAATTTTTAAGTATTTTCCACTTGAGAAAATGTATTTTCTTTCAACAATTTCTTCAAGAATAAAAATGTTTTCGGGACATTTTTCTTTTGTTCTAAAAAGTCTTTCTTTTTTAAGAATGAATACGAAAGTTTGCTTTCCCTAACTCCTTGTTGTGTACACACAAAATATTTTATAATATATATTATACATTAAAGTAGCTATAGGCACTTAGCTTATGGCAAACAAAAGTGTAAATATAAGCAAACATAAATCATCTACAAATATACACAGACAGCTAAAAGATTTGCCAGATAAGAAGTCAACTCCAATTTCAGATGGAATAACAAATTCGTCCTTGGTGTAAAGGGTTTAATAACAATATGCTTCTCAAAATGCAGAAAAGTCCCTAATAAGGTATATAAATGTACTCAAATAGTCAATGTCAACATCCTAGTCATGTCCATCTTGCATCCCTTAGCCTTTCTCACAGGAACATTTTAATAGAGTTATATTCCACAGATCTGTTCAGCTCTTTAACTTTTTCTTCTCTTCGTTGTGATCAAAATAAACTATGGTTCATGTAGTAATTTTACCACCTGATGAATGTGATGCTGTCTGATATAAGCAAATCTTCCTATTACAGATCTCTAAAAAACGTTTGTAAAAGGAATCCAAATTAATCCTTGTACTTATCCAACTCCATAGTGAATTCTTCTACCAAGATGTCCAAACGCTAGTAGATGTCCAAACGTAATTAAAGTCACTGAGTGAATACCATAATTTTATACAGCTAGTTTTTAAACAGTAGTCCAATTCGATATCGTTTTTATTAAAACTGTCTTTAGACTAATTCAAACAAGAAGAAAGCTCAATTGCTAACTACTGTCTGCATCATTATGAAGATCTCTTCTATCTGTCAGAAAATCTATTGAGCTGACTGGATGACTGCAATCGAGATGTCTACTCCCCAAGGTTAGTCTAATTATAGTCTCAGTCAAAACAGTGCAGGACGCACCCTATAACTTCAACCAGAAATACAAAAAAAAAAAAAAATTTCACATGATTTTATTTATATTTCTTGTATGCAGTCATCTGATACCACTAGCCCTTTCACTTCCAAGGGGAACTAAAAGTAAAGGAAACCCAATATCAAACTGAGAATGTTGAACTCATTTGATCAAATCAATCCATTAGCCAGTGGGACAGTATTCTTTTCAATCAGTACAAACCTATCCCAAACAGGTCCAGACGTAAACATGTTGACGACAGCCAACAGTCGGCCGTTTTCTTGTTTTCTTGTATCACGCCAAAAGTGCCCTATTCTGTCCATTTTTACAAGTTTCAGACCAAAATGAAACTTAATATCAAACTGGGAATTTTATCTTCAAGGTGAAAATCCCAACAACAAAAGACATAGATTTAACAGTGACCAAGTCCATTGATCCAAATACATTATGTTAACATTGGTTTAAGTCGGCAGTCTTTCCGTCCATTAAAATATTTACTACATTAAGTGGGGTCAGCTTTTAAGTTAATATCATTAGGTCTTCATTTGTGTACACAAGGAATGAAGGGTATACAGGTGGTTTAGGGTACTAATAATGCCATTTAATGTTTCCTCCCTTTTTTGTATTTGGACAAGTCCTAGAAGCATATTTGTACGTAAGAACTTAATGATGTTCAGTCTTTTTTTCTGCATAATTGATATGAATGTGCAGACAATTTTGGGGGGGGGGAGGAGGACTTTGTCAAATCTTGTCACTTGATCCTAATTCCCTGGATATCCCTCGATATCCTTGATACCCTGGTTCTAGAAAATATATGATTTCGAACAGACAAAAAACCTCAAGATTTCAAAATAACAATAAACATAAAAAGACATGACACACATGAACCCAAAAATGCTCTCCCACCTCCTTCTGTCCCTCCCTCTCTCCCCATCTCTTTCTCTCTCTCTCTTTCTCTAGCTCTTTCTCTCTCTAGCTCTCCCAAGCCTCTCCTCTCTCTCTTTCTCTACATCTCTTACTAGTCAGTGTATACATGGTTGTAATAATCATCTGTTGATTGCCTAACTCTCAAATAAATCTTGGCACCGTAAATGTTTTTTTTTTTTGCACTGGTGTCATACACATTTTATTTACAAAAATTCACCCACTCACCGGTGGTGTCAACTGTTGAGGGGGTGACCTTGAGTTGACCTTGACCTTCTTTAAGTTCTCCAGTCTCTTCTTGCACATGTCCTGTATGTCTTCAATACGCTTGAGACCTTCCTGGACTGCATTCTGGGAAATGAAAAAATTATTGTGCTATATGTATCCCAAATGCTAAAGTTCTTATTTTTTTTTTTTGAAACTTAAGTTAAAATATCTCTCAATTTTTTATGCCAACCCAACCCTGCTATTTTAGCTAAAAATTGGATTGTGCCTGCAACTTTGATTTTAGTTTAAAGAAAAATACCTATCAATACATGTTCATTGCCTGGTTAATATACTATTTCATGTATAAGAACCATGTACATGTATACAGCTACTGGTAAATTTATTCATAATTGCTAGCTGATAATGACAAAAAAAAAAAAATAATAATATATATAATAGACACTTATGTTCTGAAAATTTTCAGTAATTAGCTGTACTATTAGTTTAATTCATACTGAATTTAAAAAAAAACATAAAATTAAAGGAAAATAAATCATATGATCAACAATGAATGAAGCAAAGAATTCAAGTTGAAGATATGAGAAATCTGTGCTATCTATCATATAAAACAATATTCTTAGACCCTAAACTGTGCTTAAGAGGTTAACCACAAACCAGAATACAAATCACTGCCATTATTTTTTTAAGTTGAATAACATTAAGTCAATTACATCTTAACTTAGGTGAAATACACATCTAGTAATTGAAGGTCTGGGCTTATAAAAAGGCCATGATTGTATTGATAGAGGATGTCTTCACTTAAAAAATACAGCAGTGGGTCATGTAAAGCTCTAGTTTTTTAGGTATTATAAGGTACTGCTGTACAACTGCCAATTCAGTTAAATCTTAAGGTAAATTTCGCAGAATTATTTATATCTGAACAAATTATGTGACAAGTAGGGAAATAAAACCTTGTTAGGTATTTGATGGCTTTCTCTTCCAAAATGGAGAACATGATTATTTAACAAGATCCTGTTTGTGTAAAGATTTCATCCAATGCTTCAAATTTATCTGTTTTTAACTGTAATGATCTTTATAATATATTATAAAATGACTTGAAAATTGTCATATTCAGATGATCAAGATTATGGAGAAAACAGTCTCATAACATTTTAGCATTTTTGTCTTACTTTTTAAAATGTGTGAAAAAATCATGATTATCCATAAAATAAATGACCGTGTGCACAATTATATATATAGTTGTACATATTTTTTTTCTTGGGGGGGGGGGGGGGGGGAGAGGTAGGCTTAAACACCTTAACTAACCTTTATTTCTGGTGTAAGCACACTTTCAAAAGTCTGTCTGAACTCCCGTGGGTTGTTCAAGTTCAACTGCTTCGACAACTGGAGATAGCCACTGATTTCTTTGATGGCCACATCAACGCCATCTGGTGTCATGTCCTGCATTGCCAGCAGGTCTACGCCTCTGGTGCACCATTTGTTGGCCTGGAAAATATGAAATATTTCTCACCAGTTACTCGCATCTCAAAGCAATGCTGATCTATGGAGTATACAGCAGTAATGGCATAACATCCAAATTATATTTCTGAGCAGATAATAGGAACTAATTATTAGCTGCCAGTTAAAGAAAGGGGGAAATACTGACATTCCAGATAAGCTATCAAAACAGCTGAAGATTTATTATTAATTTATATTTTTCATCATTCTTACAATTACTAAAAAAAAAAAAAAAAACACTGGCCAAAGAGACCCTGGATAAAAGTGACTGATACTAATTTCAATCCATTATCAACTTCAGCACATCTACCTTTTCCAGTCTATCATACAGATCTCTCTTCTTTCTCAGGAGTTCATTTCTTTGGCGAACAACTTCTTTGTACTGAAGACAAATTCTCTGCAGCTCCAAACACTTGGGGCGAATACTATCCACAGCGTAATGCTGGTCCTCTATCAATGCCTCACCCTCCATACGGAGCTGCTCCGCCCTATGGATATCATTCTGGAAGAAAGCAGCAATAATGTCAAATGTACAGACATACAGAAGAAAATGATGACACGGCATAAAATGATACTACCTAGTGTTCAATGGCATTACTTCCTCACCACCAATTTTCAATTATGTACAACAATAACTTTGGACATTCAGAAACAATTTGATTTTTGAGTGTAGATCTAGTGCCTCCTTAGCTGAGTTTTGAGATAAGAACTTTCAGAAATACAAACAATCCCATCTCTACAGTCAAATTAGACCACCAACTGTGCCAATTTTTATTAATAATATTATAAACTTACGTTAAATTTAATAAATCTAGTTTTAAATCATTATAACTGAGAAGTAGTAATATAATACTTCAGTTGTACACAAGAGTAATTTGACATAACTGCTTTGTGTTAACAGCATCTTTTACAGCTTAAAGTTTCTTTGTTTTATTGCGTGCATGTGTGTGTTTGTGTGCACATGCATACGTGCACATGAGGATATGGGCCTGAATGTTTCAGTCAACATCTCTCAAAATCTTATTTCCTTCATGAAAAAGATCCATACCTTCGTATTTTCCTCAAAATCTTTCATATCTGTGATATGGTTCTCTATTTTCAACAAGGAGTTTTCTGTTTCTAAGGCTTCTTCTTTTAATTTCTCAAGATGTCTTTCTACAACATACTGCAGCTGGAAAAAGAAAAATTCACAAAATGTCAAAATGAATGTCTTTTATTGAATTCAATGTTTCTTACAGCATATAAGGGGACGCCATACTTACTTGTGTTTGAAGGTAAGTGTTGTTGAAATCAAAGAGAATTGACTCCTACCTGTCTGAATTCATCTTCAAACTTCCTCAGCTGCATACACTGCTGAAGTTTCTTATGGTGCTGGTCCCAAAACTTGTCAAAGGCTTTCTCTGTCTCTTCCAACTGTACAAGAAGTCTGAAAGAAAATGAAATGAAATATGTCATGAAACTTTCTTTTTTCTTTTAAATATGTTCTACTTTGACAGCACAAAACAAGGTTTCATAAAATATATTTCTTTCATACTTGTCACCAAATCAAGCTTTTTTACTCCATCTTTTCTTTTATCTACATGATCTCGGCTTTTCATCCATTCACTCTATACGATTCACAAACCTTGACACCAAACATTAAAACTGTCAATTAACTGAATAAAGATGAACAAATTAATTAATACATGATATTTTCGTTGTGGTGCACCAAAGCATAAACTGCTCTTCTTTTTTCTAAATCATGGTTCTACATTTTACTCTGCCTGTAATTTCCCATCTTTTCTCACAGTGTGTGTGGCCAAGGTGAAAAGAAGTCCAAACTTAACCACAGAATGATCCTATCTGCTGAGATTGCACATTTAGTTGGTATTTATAGAGTTATGGTTTTCCTCATGCTATACTTATGAAATAAGTAACCCTGAAATTGTCTACAATTTGCTTACTTAAATTGTTAAATTTCATGGGAAAGCTTTCTATCTCTTTCTCTCTCTCAGTCTTTTACTCTTTCTTAGACTCTGTCTCTTACTCTCTCTTAGACTCTCTCTTTTTCTCTCCTCAAATTTATAGCTGCATGGACACTGTAGAAAAAAAAAACAGCTAAGACAGCTACTGTGACCACTGCACCATGAAGGTTATTTGCCTACAAAAATGTCCTTCACGCATGCCATGTATATGAAAAATTACTAAAACTGTAACAAAAATTTCTCTAAAAATAATAAAATAGTAAAATGCAATATTTTCAAGGAAAAAATATAAATTTACGAAGACATGCTTCCTGGCTAAAATTTTAGAAAAAATAACTAATTACTAAAATGCACTTCTTTTTGAGAAAGTTAATCGATTAAATTTATTGAAATTCAATGAGAAGTTTCACAAATTTTAAACACCTTAAATATTCCTGTACTTCATTTTTCCAGGATTAAGTTTTTTAATCTAATGTGCAGACTGAGCTCAAGGGTTATATTAACAACTTAAAATAAACTTTTTTTCTAGAAATTAAAAAAAAAAAAAATTAATTTTTATTCCAAAAATGTGAATAACTATGTATACCTCACACACTGCTTCTCAACTTAAGACTTCATGGAGATTTATGTTTAAAAAATTCACATTGTCTCTACCATGGGTTTAGTATCACATCTGTCTCTTAATTTCACTGCATGACTGTGTAATTTTATCATGAAAATTCAAGCAAAAATACCATCAGACTATAGCTAGTAACTTCACACAAATATATACAACAGAATAATTACAAAAAAAAAAAAATTTCTTACACAAATAATTTCAAAATCCAGGACCATTAACACATGTAACTTTTTAGCAGCTTTGTGCTGATAAAGGTTTGTTGAGAATGCAAGCACCTGTTGCCTTATTTTAAGCTCGGAGCCATTAAAAATGCATACACAATGGGTCCCACATTCAAGAAATAAACTACAAACTGCCAGAGAGAAATCTGTGCCAAATACAAGATTAAGTCACTAATCTACACTAACTCTGCGTTCAAAATTTAGCAGCATTCAGCCGATACAGATCACACTTATTTTAACAAAATAAAACCAACATAAAAACCCCTACCATTCCGCCACTCCCCAAGGCCGCCAAAACGGAAAAGGCATCCACGAGGCCCAGCGACAACATGGCCACTTCAACCACGAGTTATTGTTTTCCCATGGCAATGGCCCTACCATAATCACCTCCCTGATATGAAAATTATTTCACTCCCAGCCTTTGGAATTAAGCTTAATGGCAATTTGCAACCTTCTTCATGGATCTATACAATTTAGCATGCGAGGAGTGATGTTGGGTGATGCGGTACGTGATAAAGGGGGAGAGCAGCTTGTGTGGTGCTGATGTACCCTCTTGTACAGAGGTCTCTTACTCTCTATTTTGGCATTTTTTTCTTCAATTTTTTTTCTCTGAATTTTACATAAATTATCTAACAGGCAAAGAAAGATGTAATGCTAGATTTTGTAAGGTAAGAAGTTGAGTACTGTATTATAAGGTAATTTTCAGTCACTTTACGATGCGTTTATCCCTTCCCTTTTTGTCATCATTATGATACAAAACATTCAGAAAATGTGACAAGCAAAAGTCTTCAAGATCATGGAACTTTAAAGTCACACCTTGAAAATGCCAATATGTGAAAAATTAAATTTTCACAAAAAACTGTTTAACTGCCAAAAAAAAAAAAAACCAAACAGACTGCATTGCCTACTGAAGCTGTATTTTAGTCCCATGTTTCTATCCTGTAAGTTTGAGAACAGTAAGTGACATGATTTTCCTTAAATGGTCATCATGGAAGCAGTGCCCAAAATGGGGGTTTCTTCAAATTTTGATGCAATATTACATAATGTTTAACAGCTTAATGACCATCAATTTTTAATTATAAAATATTTGTATCATAGATATTCAGAAAATGTGACTAGCAAAGGTCTTCAGGCCCATGGAACTTCAAAGTCACGCCTTGATAATGCCAAAATGTAAACAAGACAGCACTGTTCTGAAATGGGTTTATTTCCATTTTTAACACTTTTTTAACATAAAACAAAATAAACATTTTACTGCCATTTTTATATGTCCAACTAAGAAAATTGATGAGATGGGAAAAGTATCAATAGAACAGTGTTAAATGTCCAATTTCCTCCATTCTGAGATTCTGAACATAGTGGATGATTGAATCTGACAAACTGCAATGATATGAGTTTATTTCCATTTTTGACACTTTATTACACAATACATGATAACAAGTTTACCATGTTTTTTACATAATCAACTAACAATGTTGTAAAGATGCAGGAAATATCAAACAAACACTTTTAGGCATCTTATTAGTTAAATAATGAGACTGTTAACATGCCTAATAATTGAATCTGAGGAAATGTGAAAAAACAGTATAACTTCTTAAGTAATGGCCCGATTATGCTTATTTTCGAACTCAACCTGCGTTTTAGTAAGATTGACCACTCCTGTGAGTATAATTACAATTGGCCAATCCGTTTTTCTTATATTGTGTTATCAGTGTTGNAAGAAAATCTTCTCTCTTCTGTCTGTTATTCAACATTTCACACACAATTCAGCAACTGTTTAACTTTTTTCTTAAATAAATAATTAAATAATATAATATTAATAAAATAAAATAACAAAACATGAGAGAGAGAAAGAGGGAAAGTCAACCAATCTCTGGTACAATAATCAAAACACGAAAATTTCTTCATGCATGACTGATTACCTGTAAACAGTATGATTATATTTGGGTCATTGACTCAAGTAATAGTTAACTGCTCTTATCAATCATGTCAGATCGCCATTTTGATTACTTGGTCCATCTGTTAATTGTAAAATCACAAAAACTCATTTCGGTTTGGCACAAATAAAGTGGCCAAATATCAGTCAACCTATGTATCATATTTGTCATTTGATCTTGTTAACTGAGCCTAAATATACTATATGGGAGATATAGACTGAGGCTTTTAGCAAGGCAGATGCATTTCAAATTCAATATCAATTCTAATCACTACAATATAGATGTATTCTGATTACTATTATATTTCCGAGGCATTCTGTATGTTTAAATAAAGTTACAGTAAATCCTTACATATATGAATTTGCATCATTTCAACACCTCAGGCGATGCTAACGCCATCATAATAAATAAAAGAGTCAAGGTTGTTACATTTGAAGTCTTTGGCAAGATAATTACCCTTCCTGGGGTCATACATGAACAAATTGGTCCTTATCCTCTTCTGTTTTACCATTTACCACTTGGATTTTTTCCTGCTAAATTCCCCCCTGAGTGTAATTTTCTTTCTATTGCCAGTAGCCTCCCCCTGCTGGTGCCTTTTCTACAACATGGTGAAGTTTCTTATATAAGGACACATGCAAGGATGCTTGCCAGAAGGGCTTCGTACTGATACCACATGGGAGTCTACCATCAAATCACATGACAACAAAGCACTGTAACTGTTACAGTAGAGTAAGGTGTCATATTCTGATGAGTTCAAAACTGTTTTCTAGCTACTATATCATTATAAAACCGAAACAATATGTCACCAGCTTTAAGTTACTGTGGTAACATGCACATTAATATATAGATGCATTGCATACATTAAATTGTCACACTGAAAGTAAGGGGGATCCACTCCCAATCCTATCTCTCTTTCTCAGAAAAAAAAAGATGAAAATTGACATTACCCTGATATTCTGCATAATCTATTATAGATTTCATTGAGTTCTAACAATGGAACTGTCTTCATTTTTCAATTTTTCAAACAATTTTTATGTAAAATGTTTACCACATTCTATAATATGGGAACCCTGGTCAAGCTACAGTAATAGGTAACTTTAAAATTATAAATAATAGTCTAAAGCCTAAACTATTTGCAAGTCATCTCCTCACAGAAAATACTTTGATAACTACAGAAATATATTTTTACCACTTCTATATTTGAAGGGTAGATCTTGACTAATATTTTCCCATTTTTACCCACCTTATGCAAGTATTCTTGAAAAATCTAAGCTACATTCAAAATAATACAAAATCCACCAATCACTAAAAGTACTACATACAGTTATGATGTGAAGTGAATCCTCATCTAGTTTAACTGAACTCCAATTATATCATATCTTAAGCCTTCTTCTTGGACAGCATATCTAACTAAATCTAGGCAAGCACACCTCAATCTGCTGGCACTGCAGTATAACAGGACAAATATTGCTTTCAGAAATTCTACTGGCGTTGCAGATTAGCAGGACATATACTAACTGCTTTCAGAAACAGAACCACAACAACAAAAATCTTCTAACCCATTGCAAATATTCAAACCATAATCCACAGTATATACAATTACATTCAGTATATAGTACCAACCTTCATTTTTCCCCATTATCCAGCTTTTTAAATGCATGTTCACTCCATTGCTACATAGCGGCTATTCTAACTTGCTACTATTATAGGCCAATGTGGTCATTAAGTTGAGTACACTCCAGGCACATTCACAGTCTAGCTAAGTTGACTTTACTTAGGTGCCTTGATGGCCTGTAAGCCTGTATGACCACAATGCCTAATCATAATAAGCCAATCTAATCCATCTGCTGTCCCACACACACTCCTAGTCACTGAGATGAAAAAATGGTCACATAATGTCATCACAAGATCTGTTGAGGTTGTGCAGTCCTAACTAAGGGCCTCGCAGCTGGACTGCAAACACGTCTCAGAACATGTGTATTCTGCTTACAGATACAACACATGAAAGATAATGCGGGCCTTGAAGTAAATAATTGATAACTATAACATTATCTGACTCACCCATCCATCACCTGATCAATATTTATCAAATCTACATCTACAGCTGTTATTCCACAGTCAAATGCAAAAGATATACCAATTCCCATTTTTTACAATATTTTTAATGCATCAGATGAAATATTTAGTCCCATTTAAAATTTTTTTTGATACAACTGTAACCATATATAGCATAGGGAAACTTATGACTATTAAAGGTAAAAAGGAGTCAATGTTTCATATTAGGCACAATTAAATGTGAAAGATTCAGATATCGTTAATGGAATTAAAGAAAGTCCCAAGTTACCTATAGATATAATTTGAGAATAATAATTATAATACACTAGGTACATCAAGGCACTCAGGAAAGCTATATTATTCAGCATCAAACTTTAGCTATAAGTAAGTGTTTTTATATACCAGCATTCATGGCCCCCAAAGGTGAAAACCTCTCACAACCACCAAGTCATATTCATGAATGCTTAAAAACTCTTACATAAAGCAGACACATGCCATTACACGTGTATGGTACAAACACATGTATACGCACACGACTGTACGCATGCATCCATAATTCCTTGCTTTGAGTTATATTCTCTACTGCACTCATATAAATTTAAGACTAGTTTCTTTGCTATCTTTCACATATTAATACACTGACTTCTTATAATTAACAAATGTCACATGTGTATCCCACTCTCAATCATATCCATAAAATACCTAACATGCAAATATACATAATGTGCGTAATACGTATGTATGCGATAGTACATACCAGTTAATACACGCACACATATGCGCGCACACACACACACGCGCACACACACACACTATGCAATAAATTACCTTTCTACTGCAGTCACATGCACCACTTTTGACACACTTAGCACCATTTCTGCCTGTCCATTCTCCAGCTCTGGCTCACGAATACAACTGAGCAATGTTTCTCCATGCTCTACGACGCTTTTCAACTCCTCCTTCACCTCCATACGCTCCAGGCCATGATCTCGTAGAAGAGCCTCCGTCCCTGCGACATCGTTGGGGAGCTCAGTTTCACTGAGGCGTTCTGTGCATTGCTGTAGCTGACCTGAGACATGGTGGGTGTTAGCAGAGAATTTTTCTATGGCCTGGAAAATTAGCAAAATATGCAGGATATACCACAAACATAAGGGTGTATTCCCACAGATTTAGATCGATCCAGAGATTAAGATTTAGATCGACCTAACTCCCTGGGGGTTCACGCTAAATTGCAGTCAGCCAAAGGCGCACCATAGTTAATTACCCCCTTACAGCTTTCAGTAGGCGGGACAGACGCTTAAGCCGCCAAAGCTGACAGTAATCTAGTGAGACTCCCCACAGGTATAGATCGATCTAAAATCTATGGAAATGGGGTCTAAGAGTATTTTTTTTTGTGATGTTTAACCATTTATTATCCTAACAATAAATACTGATACCTATTTATTTTTCATTTCTCTCTTTATTTAATTATGTATCTTTTATTAATTATCACTTGCTTACTTTTCATTTCATCAAGTCACTAAAAAGAGAAACAAAAACAACCAGGATTTCTACTTGGGTTTTTCATGGAAAACAAAGCCACGGTGAACAAAAGGGGGCAGCACACAAGTCCATGCCTTCTCATCTCCTGCCATACTTACGGCTCTCTGCTGTATCCACTCGGCGTGATCGTAGGCTATGAGGCCCCCCAGGTCCTGTGTTAGCTGGTCCCTGTCTATGTGACTGTACAACTCCTGGACATTATTGCACATTATAACCTGAAATACAGCGAGCATACATGTATGAGAATTGAGCTTTATGATGGTTGGGCTTATGCTAAAATATTTGATTAATGTATATACTTTATCTTCTCCACCCCCCCCCCCCAACCTCCCAATTAATTCCAATTTGAAAATGGCATAACCTAACAGATGAAATTTTGATTCAGACTTTTCCCTCTTTAATCAAAATTGTCCCAAAAAGGACATTTCTTCCCCCCCCAACACAAACGCGCACATGCGCATGCGCGCGCGCACACACACACACACACACTTACATGCCAGGAATCGCTTTATAATCATGAATCAGATGCAACCATCAGACAAGTTTTCAAACAAATTTACCAACAAGTATGATGTCCAGAAAATGTCACTTATGACCACACTGTCCAAAAAGCCAAAATAAATTTGCATTTTGCTTGAAAACTGTTGATTATGTTTTCTCTTTATTGTATTTCTCTGTGTATGTATAGGCCTGCTAACCTCAAATTTACAATCTTCTTTCACAGACTTGTATCCAATGTCGGAGATGTGTTTCTGGAAGAAGCCAGCAGGCTTGACTATATATGCTACTTGGATAAGAGCTGGGAAGAATGTCTGCAAGAGAAGAAAAAAGGTCTGAAATATCATACAATAAATACTAGAAATCATACATTAGCTCTGATAAAAATTAGTCAAATTTCTTGTTCAAATTTTCTATTGTAGGAAAATGTGTCAGAGTTATGTGAGGATTCAAATAAGGCAATGTAAATAGTTATTGTAACAAATACCGATGAAAATCAGACCTCACATCTATTCAAGATAAATGATAATTCACGTTATAAGGTGATGAATTATGTAATACATACATACAACAATGGCCAACAAGGCGTAAAAGCAGAGTTACTGAACAACATCATCAACAAGACTGTTGAACTCACAGATATCCTGAGCAGGATGGTTTTCACAGAGCTCCATTTGTCATTGCGTCTGTCTATGACCACCACAAAGCCAAGATCTATGTCCCTCAAGCTGAAAATAGAAACCAGGAAATAAATAAATTAATTAATTAATAAAAATAAATAAATAAATAAATAAATAAATAAAGCTCTTCATTTAAAAGATTTGCCCTGAAGTCAAAAGTTCTCCATTACCACACCAGGTGGCAGCACCCTGCAGTGTGACACTGGATATCCCCTTCCACAATACCAGAGTTATATACATACATGACAATTGAATTAATACTTAACAAACTTCTAAGATTATCAAATAATCATGTAAAAATAATGGTTTTGTCAAATCTGCATCCTAACTGCAATTTCCTGATTGCCTATAAACACATTTCAGAACAATATAATAAGATAAGTAACAACATCTAACAAACTACAAGTTTCAGAATCATGTTGCAACAGTGTCCTAGGCTACATGTAATATTATATTAATCATTTTATTGCACTCATGTAAAATTCTGATCTACTTGTTACAATTTTTTAGAAAAATAATCATTTCAAAAATATTATTATTATTATTATATAAACACAGAGAACAAGGACCCACACTGTCACCAACATTAAACTTAGGCTTCATACACATGCAATGTCTATTTTCTAAATTCTATTTTCTATTTGCGGTATGTCTTATGATCATGGTCTGTGCCCTGAATATCCCGTGGCGTAATTACTGGCAGCGC